GATAACTGAACGTCAGCGCTTAGAATCCATCGATCATTAGTCACTCCCTATCTTCACGAATTTACTTCAGCTTCTTCCAGCTTTCTAAACCTTTTCCGCTCATCCTACCAGCATAAATTGCTTTCATGACGCCCAGATAATGAGTAATGTTAATTATTAAGCCATAGTATAAACGGCTTTGACTTGTTTTCAGCTTAATTCTACTTGAGCTAAAATTGTATCGGAATACACGGCGACTGGAAGAAAAAAAACATGTCCAAACCATTAGAGTGAACGACCGTTCACAACATCATCAACTAACTTAGCTGAGAACCTAGCATAGGTAACTAGTTCACTAGTCAATAGCCGGTCTTTAGCTCCGATAAAGACAGAAGGCTAGGCATAGAGTCAGAAACCCTACCCCGGAAAACCATTTCAATCACTAAAACACTTCAAGGAACAAAGAAAATATGAAACATACAAATTAACTTATTCCACACTGGAATCACATGGACGGATGACACCGCCTGGTGAAAGCCTTCGACAAGCCAATTGGCCGATGTATCTTCCATTCACCCAATGAAAGCAAAAGTAAACATAAGGACATGGAATGTCCACACCATGTTTGAAGTTGGCTAGTAAGGCTCCACACACTGCTAAAGAGATGAGGAGGAATACCAGAGAAGTGCTAGGTTACGAGTCTGAGAGACCACATGCAATGGAAGTCAACTCTACAAACTCTTAACTCGACACTCAATAATCTACTCCGATATTGTCACACTGACGACAACCACAAGCACAGCACAGCACACTGCACTGACTTTTCGACTGGTGATCATCATGTCGCCAACACCAACGAAGACACACACACACTCTCTCTCTCTCTCTTTCATACACTGAGAAACAATCTCCTCCTGCACAATCACGATCATGACACCAAGATTCAACTCAAAAAGAAAGAAACAAAGTTACAGTCATACAATGCTACACTATGCACTCACAAATAATGCGGATCAAGAGAAGAAGGAGGAATTCTACAGAGAACTGCTATCAGTACTGGACAACACCACAGACGGTGACGGCAACATCAAAATTCATTCTAATCGGTGGGGTGACATGAATACCAAACTCGGAGCGGACAACACAGGAACACAACTCATCATCGGTCAGGAGGCAATCGGTGAAGTGATGAACTGTTTGCAGACATCTCCACATTCAACGATTTGGTGATCGGAGGTGAGGCAGTGTGTACAAACACAAGGATATTCACGAGTCAGCGACATGCATCTGATTTCATCAGACACCGGAACACAATACACTACACTACACTAAACTACACTAGAAATCAGATCGACTTCATCTCAATGTGAAGAAGGTGGAGATGGAGACGCAGCCAGTCTACTGGACACAAGATCAGATGTTGGTGCTTCACACCACTCACACCACTATCCAGTGCTGCAAGCAACGTGCCTTCAAAATCAAGTTGAAAAACCTCGAAGAAGCTGGTGATGATACACCACAGTTCACCTTCACCTTCGCCTTCACGTTCAAGTTGAACACCCAAGTTGAACACAAACTGAACTGAACGACCAAAATACAAAGTCCATCCTCACATCAGTCATCAGGACAAAATGGGAGACATTAGGGGCAACATCCCTAAAGAAACCTGTGTGGAAGAACACTGGAACTCTGTGGAAGCGACTACTTCGAAGGGGACCTGCATAACCGTGTTAGGAAGGAAGAAGCAAGATAAAATGAGATAAGATAAGATAAGATAAGGAATGGATGTTCACGGATGTCCACATGGAAGCTGATAGAGTAGGGAGAGGAAGATGGTGAAGCAGAAGATGATCCAGTGTGGTGTAATGCAGTGGTGAACAACGAAGAAAGGAACTAAACACAACCTATAAAACACTACACTGGACAAAGAAGTGAAGAAGTGTGCGCGCAAAGACAAAAGACACTCGTACAACATACTTGCAAGTGAAGCAGAACAGGCTGTTGGTAAGAGAGATAGTGAGAGACCTGACGACATTATATCAAATAACCAGGTTACCCGGTTATCCGGTAGGGAAGAGATCAACGCAGCACACATGAAAGCAATGAGAGATAGTGAAGGAAACCTAGTTAGGAAGGAGGAGAATCAAAGGAAATGATGGGCTGACCACTTGAAACAAGCTCTTGAATCGACCACTACCATCACCAGCAACTCGTCGAGAAACACCACCAGCAGCCCACTCACAGAACTATCAGTGGACATAAGGCCTCCAACAATGGCCTACGCTCGATACTGAAGATCAGATTGATGGATAGAAAGAATACGCAGAAGGAACTCACTCTGGCTGGCAACGAACTAAGCAAGAAGTCGTCAACCATGAAATATACAAAGGAAGGAAGTGGAGACGGATCGGGCTTACATTGAGAGGATCGTTTAGGGATATCATGAGCCAGGCCAGATCGTAGAGTGGAAAGAAAATGGGAAACGATGAGTTGGGTGACATGGAAGAGATGGTGTGACGAAGAAATAAAAGCTTCTGAGCAGTCGTGGAGCCAGGTTCAAAAGACCGCAGAGTGCAATGATCCACTAGGAACCCAAGGGACAAATAATAGTAATAAAACTGATCTAAGATGATATTTTATATCTGCACGACTGACATCACTAATTCACAACACGCGATGAATGCTTCGAAATATTTTTACGCCGTCCACCTTTAATGGAAATGCATCATAGCTATATAGTAGGATACAGTGAACTATTGCGTAGCCAACGCTTAGCAGGCAACTAGATTACTTGTAGAAATCATAGCTGGAGTGAATTAGTGAAAATCAATCGAGCCTTTTGTATCTCCGCTGAGATTTCTTCAGTTCCTGATACATTACGGTTGATATAATTTTCAACATACATGAAGGCACCTGCGCACTAAACACTTCACTTACTACCACTAGATACAAGTATTAACGCAGTCTTGAAGAAACTAAACTGGAGCCAGAGCTAATATTCGTGGATAAAAGTCACATAAATTTTGTCTAACATCAACGCAGCCAACTGTTCTTAAAGTAAGTCAGTAGTCATTATAAACGCTGATTTTTTTTAACTACAAACTCCTGAATAGGTCGTAATATCTGCCTTCTATTGCGATTATCTTCCCTGGATTTTGGCTTTCATAGTACAACATCTCTCGTGATAATTACGTAAATCTTTCATCAGTCCATACATATTGTATTTTCACAAATATACAGTATGAGTTATAAATATCCATTAGTTAGCAAACTATCATCTTCACATAGAAAAAATGATTAGTTATTGAAAAAAAATGAGTACCAATTTGAGTAGAACTATATTCCGCTTCCCATAAAGCAAACTTTACAAAATATATGCGCTGAGTGATCACCAGAGATTGAATTTCCGATAATATCAAGGTTTACAATCACATACCTACTGTATGCGTGTGAATAAAGCATGCAATTCATTTTAATTGATGCATACATGGAATATGGGCAGTACAGAGTACTAGTGTTGAAAAGCAATGTCGCTAAATGAAACCGGCATTTTTATTAGACATGTATTCTTGTTATTTTTGTATAATATTATAAAGTCAATAAAAATACATCTATGAAAATCTTCATTTATTATTTCTCTCTGCACTCAAGAATCTGGACAATTAATTGACTTAAACTGCATGCGAAGTATGCAAATACCTACCGAAAGACTTTTGAAGATGGTTATCATAATGAATCAATATGAATGATAGATAGTGGCTGGCAGTGGAATCCAAGACACGCGTTTCGTCCTATTTAGGGTTAGTCAATTGGATGCACCTGGCTTCCAGTGATCAATGTTGTTCCCACTAGGACTTGAACTCCGAACTGATAGCTTTAAACGCTAGAGCGTTATCCACTAAACCATTGAGTCACGATAGCCACTTCATATGCGACGGGTATAGTTTTATTGTTGTTGGTTGCATTATCCCGTCATCGAGTGGACAGAATTGATCTATCTCTATTAGGATATGGGTTGTTTCGCAGCTGCCTCAATATTGCTTATGTTTGAATATATTAATGATGGTTAGTGGTTAGCAGTGGGATATGTAACTTAAACACAGGCAATATTGAAGCATTCGTGAAGGAGCCCATATGCCGATAGAGATCGATCAATTCAGTCCAATCAACAACAATAAATCAATACCATTTAAACAAATGATCTTTAATGAACAAAAAGCGGTGAACAGACCTTCCAGAATAAGCAATACAATATGGCACTGCAACTCAATAACGAAATACATCGGTGTGATAGTTAATAATACTTACTGGTTAACCAGAACGGAAGTAGCTAGTGTAAAGCTTAAATCTGTCATCTAGTAGATAAATGTCATCCATATAAAATAACCAATAAGGTACGTCGATATAAAATGATTAAAGTTGATTACAAACTTCAAGAGTAAATATACTTAGAAGAACACCTGAATGCTCCACTGTTGAAAACTTTACTTCTAAGATATCACTGATATAGAAGAACGATGAAAACGTTGTCATGAACTTTAACAACTAATTCAACGACATCAATTTTTCGCATAAACCTAAATCTTATCCTTGAAAGATATTTCCTATAAAACATCGATTGTATTAAATAGAAGGCAGTAAAAAAAAAAGGCTAGAAAAAAGCACCTTAAAATGTAACTGTTTCTTTAGAGTGAACAGTATACACCTACATACGAACACATACAAAGCGTAACACATTCATAAAGTGTTTAGAAGAAAACTTTTTATTCGAATAGAGATAGAGGGAAGCAACAGAGAAAGAAAGACAAAGTAGTAATTCTTTAGGAAAATATAAGTGATAAGCACAGCAAATTAGTGAATATGAATATATATTCTTGCTTGCAATGTAAGCCCCCGAATTAACCAACTAATAAGCGAACAATAAACAATCTAGTAAGTCAAGGGCTACAAATACAGAAGAATATTTAAAGAAAAGATACAATATCGATTGTCTTTCTGTAATGGTATTACTTTGAAAAACTTTACGGTTTTGCTTGACCTACAAGTTCTGGAGCACTCTGTGGTGGTAAATTTTCCTGAGATCGCATAACTTCTGGTAATTCGGGAGGATTTGAATACGGTGTAATGTCTAATACTTCGAACTTTTCAGTTACTGAAAAAGAAAAAAAAATTGACACTGTAAAATAGGAAAAATGATACTGAATATCTTGTCGAACTAGTAACTATTCATAAAAGTGGTAAATCATTCTCAACAGCCAGATTGAAACATGAAGGCAACTACTTTTGAGGATATAATTAGTTTATTTATTTTCTCAGTTCACAATGAACTGAACGAGTTTTTTTCAGTGCATTTCACAGTCATGTTACAATACAATCTACGAAGAAGGTAATAGGAATTCTATACAAAAATTAATACTCTCCCGTCTTCTGTAACGAATTCTTTGAGTTAGCCGCCTCCTTAATCGCCTGATCTTTAACCGATTTATAAGTATCTGAATCAAGTTCAGATTTGAAGTTTTGAAGAAATTTGAGTAAGTGTTATTCATCATTATAGTATTTGTCTTTCATTCACTGAGGGAACATAAATACTATTGTAGTGGGTGCTACTAATAAGAATGGATATAATTAGTATATTTTGAGAGGGTAGAAGAAGTCATGGGCATTTATTAGCGATGGGTAAATACTCTACGCAGAGAAACGCAAGAGACAATGTGGGTGTATGAAGAGAAAATCGAGATAGGAGAAGAAGATAAAACGAAACACATTGTGTAAATGACTGTCTTAGTGGAAAGTGTACAATATTTCACTACTACTGTAAAATATTTCAATAAAAAACACTCCTTCCTGCGTCTCAGTCATTGTCGTTTCTTACACTACAATTCTTTAACAATTAATAATTCAAAGGAAAGTCACTTTAAATGAGATAATTAAGCATTATGGTTTCATTGTTACACGTTCCCTTGCTCATAAAAAGCCAAAACAAATACACCAACTTCATTTTCTATAGTTTTGAAAGATGGAAAAAAAGTTGGAATAACTACTAGATAAAGGAGAAAATGAAGAGATTAAGTGTAAAGTAGGCGTGGGACACTGTCTGAGAGCAAAACCAAAAATGAATGAAACTGAGTCACTGTGAGTTGCTATGCGTCAAACTGATAAGATCATGTCGGCCAATACATGCTATCGTCGAACATAAGCTACGACTTACGTCCTTTAAAGCTTGATATATGGAGTAGTGAATTCATCAACTGTAAAACTCATATCTGACATTGTTCCAGTCAATGAATGCTCAACTGAGAACTACAGACTGATATCATAGTGTGATTTGATCCTTTCAAGCTCAAAATGAACACATATTATTGATGATTATTGGGTGAGAACAAGCAAAAAACATAAAAAAAACATTTCGTTCATTTGTTTATCGCTACTTGCGCTTCTGAGTGCACCAGTCCTGTTTCTCATGCACAACCCAAAGTAAACCCACAAGCATTTTAGGCTAAATAAATATTTTTCAACATGAAACTAAGTTTACATATTCATTGAAAGCTTATCATAAAGAAGTTTGTCAAGGTTACTCTAAAGTACAAGGTTTCCTTTGAGTCTACTGTTGCTTAAAAAACCGTTCACAACAAGAAATGTCTTCAGCATCAACATTTTTACTACATTTTTCGAGATGGGTGAACATAAATTTTAGATCCAAAAATATGGAAATGTCAACTTTTCCCTGAATCCGCCTATTTGGTACTACACTACACGCAGATAACAGTGAAACTTTACCAATATATGAGAGGTCTTCAACTGAGATAGTTACTAACTTTGACTCGCTCCCTTTTGATTTAACTTTTAAAGAATAAAGACTCTAGTTTCAAACGCTTTCGACGTTATCATTCAAATAAGTTGATAAGACAAATAAGCTAGATCATCAGTTCCCATTATTAGTCTTTACATACCAAGTAATACCAATGAAACAGCAAGCCCAACCAAGAACAGCACGATGTGATAATTTCATACAATGACCAAATTTAATGTAACAATTTAGGTAGGTATATTTCTTATATATTATGAGTGAAATGTCCGAAAAACTTCTAATCAGTCCATATGAAAATCAATTATATGATAATAAATGAGCAACAACACCTGTAACTTAGTAACTGAATGAACGTTCATACACACAGTTATCAGTCACACCTAACATGTAAGAACCTTATGATACTGAGTTGCACTGTCCACCATGTTCAAGCCCATGATTACATAATTATTGACATCGAAACCATGGGAAAACAATGAAGATTTAGATTGATGATAACTAGCAACTTGAAAGCCAGGTCCATAACTACTACACTGATGTGGTGCATGAGCCTGCATGCCACAATGACCCAACGAGCTATGCTAGTGAAACGCTTGTTCGCTCGATGTCGCGTTATACTAGAAAGGTCTGTTAGACAGTGGTAAGACGAAAAATAGTTACTTTTGTAGCTTAAATTACTGCACTATGATGGGGGTCTGGGGCGAAGTCCTACTGCTGCTAGCCGGATAAGACGTGGTAGCAGTAAGGTGTTTTTCTTGGATGACCAGCAGTACCACGCTGATACTACCTTCACAGCGGGAAGGGGGTGTTAGAAAAGGTGGGCCCGAGAAATATCACACTCTACCATACCCCATGGTCTTCCGCTGTCGGTGGTATGAGGTTTTTGTCTATCCAGCGTAAGGAACAATCAAGCTTCAAAACAATCCATCAAAAGGCTGTGTGATAGGCCTCAAGCAGATGTTCCATGGGCTTTGTGGTCACATAAATCTTTTTCTTTTCCAGCTATCTCAAAAAGACCTAGTCTCCCATGGTGTGGGTAGCCGGGAATAGTTAACCGCCCCCACAACTCTGTCAGCGCTTAAGTCCCTTTAGACCGTTATCGCCCCCCTCATCTTCACTTTCTAAGCTTCCTTCACGTTTTTCGGTTTACAATCCTACATCATCTTTATTTTCTTCTAGCTCTTCAGCTTTCGACAACGATCTCGATCCACAGAAGGGCATTCTTGGTCTCGTTAAACGACGCTCCAAATTACACATTGGAGCCTTCAATATCCACACTATATCAAATTGGCTAACAAGCTTCATTGCAACTTGGCCCGTCAATGTGTGCTGTGTTTGTGAGACACGGATACAGGACCCAATTGCGGTTATTCACTTAACGTCTCTCGGCCACTATAGTGAATCCGCAAAAATTCACCCTTCGAGTTTCCGGAGATTGGATGAATAGTTCTCGCAGTCTTGCGGTTGTAGGCATAGGATTGAACACTAGGGCAGAAAGCTCACTAATAGACTGGATCTCAGTTGATGGTTGCCTATGCGTTGTCCAGCTGAATGGCATAGTGAGAACTAAAAGGAGTAGTGAGACTCGCCGTTATCTCTTTGTACTCTGCCTACGCACCCACTGACTGCAGTTCGGATGAAATAAAGGATGTGTTCTACCGAAAACTGTCTAGCCTCCTCTCTTTGCAGATAATTTTAATGCACAAGTGGGTAGGCTGTCAGGCAGAAAGGCACTTAGGTGGTGCTTTTGGAACCCCGGCTCAACTACAGCTGTGCTCAGATAACCGTTTATTCCTAGTTAGCACAAACTTCAGACAAAAAAGATATCTGACATGACATCCACCAAGCTCAACTCAACGATGGACACAGACTAGACCATATTGCTATCAGTCATCGGTGGGGGACTGCTGCTCTCTCTGGAGCACGTGTTGGTTCCAGCGTGTACATGTCTGCGCCTCAATGGACGTAGAAAACCTAAGCAACAAGACCATTACGAGTGCAGCTGGATAACGAAAGCACTAAGGTTGCTTTCAATGGAAAACTGGATAGGCAGTTATTGGACCACAACGCTGTCACTCACTAAGAAACAGCTTGGTGCCATCTCCAGTATACTGTAAAAACAGCGTTGTAGACCGTAACCGACTGTTAAAGTGTAGTTAAAAAGAGCCAGTGGATATCAGCAGCTTCTGAATCAGTGGATGCACTCAAACTCATACCTGTAGGCTCTGAGTACAATGAGGAGCGAATGCAACTCAAATGTAGAATGAGAAAAGGTCTACACAATAACCGTGAACAGTGGTAGGGAGCAAAGGTTGAAGAGATGGAAAAGGCAGCGGTGACAGGTAACAGTAAACTATTGGTGGGATTTAATAAGGAAACTGGGGCGATTAGGTCAATTTTTAGTAAGACAGCGGAGGAGCATGGGTATACAATTCACTCGCAGGGGAGACGACTGGGACGATGGGCAGAAAACTTTGAGAAACAGTTCAACTGGCCTCCAGCTATTAGTGCGTTGCCCGCTATCGAGTTGGATCCTGAGTAGAACATTGAGATAGGCTCCATCAACACCTGCAAAAAATCGAGAAAGCGGTAGGTAACCTGAAACAAAGAAGGGCAGCAGGATCAGATGGACTAGTTTCTGAGATATATAAAGACAATGATAGAGTTTTCAGTTATATAAAGTGTTAACTAGAGTGTGGGAGTCAAATACGATCCTCTCTGACTTGTCTCAATCACTGATTATCCCAGTCTTGAAGAAAGGTGAGAAGTTTTATTGCTATAACCACAGAGGAATCAGCTTAACGAATATAATGTCTAAGATTCTAGATCCTATAATCACTAGACGCCTTAGTGGAACTCGCGAACAGCAAACCCGGAAAAACCAAGCAGGTTTCAGACCTGGCCACGAGTTTATCGACCAAATATCCACACCGTTAGGTTCTGTAACACCGGCACGCTTACCGACGCCCGACAATAGATGTATTTCCCGACTTGAAGGCGGTATTAGACTATGTCGATCGAGAAGTCTTATGGAAATGTCTCTCAATGAAAGGGGTACCGAGTAAGTACATCACCTTATTGAAGGCTCTTTACTCAAACACCTGTGAGCGTGTCAGAACCTATGATAAGATATCGTGTGAGCTGTGTACATCGAGTGGTGCTCGTCAAGGATGCCCACTCTTTCCATTCTCATTGAGTTTTATCATAGACGTTCTTATGTAGGTTTCTCTATGGATATCTGACTGCACAGGGATTGACTTAATCACAGGAGAAGTTCTGGTTGACCTAGAATACACATATGGTATAGTTCTGTTAGGCGAGTACGCTAACATTTTAGTTAGCAA